TGACCTTGTAAAGATTTTGGCACGTAATGACAATTTATTTCATTTCGCATTCCAAATTCTTTCTCCATTGCATTGGATAGTAGGACGACACCATAAATATTGGTATCTAAACAATACATCTCATTAAGGACAAAATTGTAAAAAGTCATAAAATAAAAAGTTAATTAAACAAATAAAGAAATATGATAGACAATAGGATTCTTTAAAGCCTCTCGCTAAAAGGAAAATTGATAAGTGAGCATCAAGAAAACATTAAAAAAATATTAGAAGACAATAATAAATATCTAAGAACAATTTTTAGAATGTAAATGTATGGGAAAACAAAAAGAGTTACGCTAATATGGAATTAGCTAAAGATGTAGTTAATAACATTATAACATATATAAGAAAATGATAGGTGAATCTTAAAAAAATAACATATATAAGAAAATGAAAAAAAAAGTTATAGTGAAAGCTGTATGCACACAGCGAAATTACCGCAAGTAAATCTTAAAATAATAATACTTAAATTTCAAGAAATAAAAGACTAAATTAGATATAAAAATGTGTTATTAATGAAGATATGGAATAATATCTAAAAACTACAAACTAAGTTTACCATATTCACTTACAATGATAGAACCTTACAATCTTCAATGACAACTATTGACGAACAAATTAATAAATAAATAGTTTATTAGAAGCTATAAGCATAGACTCAGAACCAGATGAAAACATTGAAAATAAATAGTTTATTAGCAGCTATCAGCATAGACTTTCCACAGGTTCTCTCCCTCCCGACGAGATCATACGAACGGATGGCGAGTCGACCCACACAACAATCATTATTGTTCATACCTCGAGCTAGTAGGTACAAACAGTATGACACCACAAAAATATTGTTATCAAGACAACACGTCTTATTAAGGAAAAAATTGTAAAATGACATAAAATAAAAAGTCAAATAAAAAAATATGACAGACATTAGGATTCTTTAAAGCAAACGAGAAATTTTCTAAACCTAACCACAAAAATGTTTATCACAATGACAACAAAAAATCTTTCAGTAAAAGGAAAATTGATAAGTAAGCATAACAAAGAAAATTATAGGTGAATCTAGTGAAAACTATAAGCGCACACAACGAAATTACCAGAAGTTGATCTTAATGAAATAATAATTAAACTTCAAGAAATAATGAGCCCAAAATAATATCAGCCCAATAACAATATACAAGCCCAACGTGATATAACAAATAGAATGAATTCATATATTCGTAGGCCTAGATGGATTTTCCTGACGTTCGGCTTCTTCTTCCTTGTTCCCTCACCGCTAGAAACAGAGTACCATAAAACATAGTAGTTGGGGGAGCCAGAAGCTAATGAATATGGTGCACTGCCACAATTTGAATTCCAATCTCCTATTTATTGTTTCTTTCTTTCTCTACCAGCAACACTCCTAGACCGATGTCTTTGACGAAAGCGAGAAATTATTTGTCCTTCCTCCTCCACCTCCTCCCACCACCACTACCAAGTCGACAGGTTGTTCTCAACCCACTGGTGAGTTCTCTCACCCCCAACGGTCGTTCTATCTGCCAAAACCCATCACCATTTATGGAACGAAACAATGGAGTACTAATCGACGCGATTGTGGCTGCAGAAGCAATGGCTATAATAGTTGTTGTTATCATTCTCAGCAAAACTTATAAAAGCAATTATGGTGGCTAGAAACATGGTTCTTATCTTGCTTTGTTTCGATTTCATTGTAACTAAGGATCGTACGAGTACTTTTTGTTAAATTCGTTTTTATGGAAACCCGTGGGTTTCTTTGGATGGAAGCCCCAAGAGGGTTATATGGTTATTCGACCTTGTAAAGATTTTGGCACGTAATGACAATTTATTTCATTTCGCATTCCAAATTCTTTCTCCATTGCATTGGATAGTAGGACGACACCATAAATATTGGTATCCAAACAATACATCTCATTAAGGACAAAATTGTAAAAAATCATAAAATAAAAATTTAATTAAACAAATAAAGAAATATGATAGACAATAGGATTCTTTAAAGCCTCTCGCTAAAAGGAAAATTGATAAGTGAGCATCAAGAAAACATTAAAAAAATATTAGAAGACAATAATAAATATCTAAGAACAATTTTTAGAATGTAAATGTATGGGAAGATGCTCTGTAGCCATGTATGAACTCCCCGGCTTGGACTTGACTCTGAAGACTGGGAGGAGCAATGGATGGAAAGTGGGTGGAGGAGGATTTTTCTTTCTCTCATTGTACCACCCATTAACGTCTTTTGAGCAGACGAAGGTGGTGGGAGTAGGAATGGTTGAAAGGTTCGCAGGAGAACCGACTTCTCAAATTGTGGTGGTGGAGTTCGGCTGACAGAACGTCCGAGAGCACCCACCGGTGGCTTGTGAAAAACCCACCGGCTCGGCGGTGGTGGTCGGAGGGGGGAGAGAAACTTCTTGAAGAAAGACATCGACGTCGACATGTTGCTGGTAGAGTGAGAAAGGAACGAGGAATTTGGTGCGAATTCAAATTTTTGGCAGTACCGTTAGCTTCTGGTTTCTAGGGGTGTGGGAATGAAGAGGTAGAAGAAGTAGGACGTGTGATAGAATTCAAATCGTGGCAATGCCGTTAGCTTTTCTGTTTCCCCTGTTTTATATGTACTCTGCTTCTGGCGATGTGTGGGAACGAGGGGAAAGAAGAAGCCGGTCCTCCGGCGAATTCACTCTGCCTAGCCGTTGAGTTCTATTGTGGGCTTTGTTATTGTCATTGGGCTGCCGATTTTTGGGCTGGGTTTTTGAGTTTTTCACTGTTAAAATTTCCAATTTTAGTTTTTTGCTTGGCCCAACTCTCTTATTGGCTTTCTTGATCCATTTTTAGCCTCAACCAAAATGAAACCATATAATTTGTCTTGTAAAATTAAATTGCATTAATAATTAAAATATTTATTAAATAAGAATATATCTGATTTGTGCAAATTAAAAAAAATCACATGACGTGTTTCTTATTCTGATTTTTTTTAAATACATTGTTGTCTAACATTTCTATACAAATCTCTCTTCATATAAGTATCTAAACAATATATTTTTGTAATTGAAACATTTAAAATAAATATTTAAACAGTATATGTTATTTCATAAATTCTGAAATTTAGAGTAACGTGTAGCTAATGTTCAAAATATTTGAAATTAACCTAACTCAATATACTCAAATTATTTATGCTATGCAATTTACACTACAACTTGCTAGTGCGTATGAAATATAACTATATTTTTTTATTATGGGCACGATGTAATATTTATATATTGTTTAAATATAGGGTTATAGGTATAATATGCCCCTCTACTATGACGGTTTATCAAACATGCCCCTCTACTATTTTTTACATCAAACATGCCTCTATACTTTGACAAAATTATCAAACATGCCCTTATGCTAAAATTTCGTTGAAAAAATCATCAATCATGGTTGAACCGAGATTTAGACGACCCGACATTGGCATGTAGGAGGGAAAATATCAGTTTTGTCCCCCGTTTTATTTCTCTGGGTATCTTCAAAGTGAAATTATTTGGCTATACAAAAGAACCAAAAAAATTCTAAAGTGAAATTATTAGGGATATTTTAGACGTGTGTGTCGTCCAAACCAAAGTTCGCGTTGATTAATTGTTTTGGATGAAAATTTTAACAAAAGTGCATGTTTGATAATTTTTACAAAGTACAGGGGCATGTTTGATGTAAAAAAATATTAATTGGGCATGTTTGATAAAACATCATAGTAGAGGGGCATATTATACCTATAACCCTTAAATATATTGATAGGGTATGAAGGTAAAGTATAATACTTGGAGAAGGTCTACAAGAAGAGTCCAAGAGAAGCCAAGACATAGGGGCAAAACCCTAGAGACTTACATCATCAGAGGAAGAAGACAAGGTTAAGAGACAAGTTGGCACATCTGACATCAGCAAGGAAGAGGTCAGGGGGACACCCTCTGCCCCACCAGACACCTTCTGACAAGAAGTACAATGTACAGTGACAGAGAGTCTGAGGTGCATGGACCACACACATAACATCCAGACTTGTATAAATAGGAGTGTTCTCCTCATGAATGACAAGCTATCTACATTTGCTACAACTTCTCTCTACTTTCTCTCTCTAACCTCTTCTCTTCCCATGCTCTTTTAAGAGGTGGGGCGCCTGCTCCCTTGAGGTCATGTCTATCACCCCAAACCCCCTTTGTCCTGAGTGACCCCCTATCACTTAGGCTCAAACAATTGGCGCCCACCGTGGGGCCAGACATGACTTCGAAAGACGCTTCCCTCTCAAAGAGTGCACAAGAGAAGAGTGTGGCTACAACCAAGACACCCCATAAGCAGGTGAATGGTCGAGAGACGCCTAACCTACATACACTTATCACTACACAAGGATTGGAAGTATGCGATGATGATATGCTAACCAAAGAGGAGGTTAAGCGCTTGAGGTGCCTCCTCGCCAAACTCGAAAGGAAACAAAGATGAAAGATGACACACATTCAATGAAATCTCTCAGAAAGGGCTTAATCGGTGGAAAATGAATAATCGAAGAGCCACCTCTACATTAAAGGTTGTAGCAGGTGTCAGGCGCCTGACAAGAGGAAGAGGCGCCAGAGACAAATGACTTGGCATTATTTGACAAGTACAGTCTAAGGGAATATTGGAAGAGCCAACACCTAACCTTGCAAGTCCAAGCATCCCTCGTACGAAGGGAGGACCGATCATGAGGATCACATAAAAGAAAGCCTCCACCACAACATGGCGTGATGTTTTGAGGATATCGTTTACCCTGCTTAGACAGATGGAATTCATATAGCTCGCTTCCTCCGTCGATGAGAAGCTAAGCGCGTTATTTCCTTTTCAGGAGCGCTGGTGCCATGCTTTGGGGAGCATCACCAATGGTTAAGGGTGTTGAACCCCACCGCTTTCTTTCCCGCCAACACGGAAGAGCCTTAGAGCTTGTGCTCAACTCTTTAGTTGAGTTTCGGGCGCTTGGATAACATGCCCCCATGAGGCGATGTCCCCAACACATCCCTCGAAATTTCCCTGCTTAGACAGATGGAGCACATATAGCTCGCTTCCTCAGTTGAGGAGAAGCCCATGCGCGTTATTTCCTTTTCAGGAGCGCCAATGCAATGCTTTGGGGAGTACCACCAAACAGTTAAGGGTGTGGAGCCATACCGCTCTCTTTCCCGCCAAAGAGTAAGAGCCTTAAAGCTTCCGCTCGACTTTTTAGTTGAGTGTCGGGCGCCTGGATCCCAAGTCCCCATGAGAGGAGATGTCCCCAACACATCCCTCAAAATATCCTTGCTTAGACAGATGGAGCTCATATAGCTCGCTTCCTCCGTCGAGAAAAAGCCTGGCGGGCTACCTCATTTTCAGGAGCGCCGCTGCAATGCTTTGGGGAGAATCACCAAATGATTAATGGTGTGGAACCCAACCTCTTTCTTTCCCATCAAAGAGAAGAGACTTAGAGTTTGTGCTTGACTCTTTAGGTGATTGTCAGGCGCCTAGATCCCAGGTCCCCGTGAGAGGTGATGTCCCAAGCACATCCTTCAAAATGCTCATGCTTAGTCAGAAGGAGCCCATTCTGCTCGCTTAATCCATCATGGAGAAGGCTAGACGAGTCATCCCCGTCATCACTAGGAGGTGGTGCATCGACTTCATGGGAGGAGGGTCCATCAACCTCATAGTTGGAGGTGCCATGCACCTTGAATCGTGTATTGATACTAACAAAAAAGAATGTCATACATTACGAATAAAAGAAAGACCATAGGTGCTCAACCAAAAATTCCGTAGCGACCAAGCAACGACAATTCGCCTCAGCGCTCTATTGGAAAGGAAAAGAAGGGCGCAAGCACTCTAAAACAAGAACCTAGGAGACCACACCTCGACAAGGAAAAAAGAAAGATTACATGATGAGGCTCTCTCAAGATTGACACATTGAGGAAGAGCTTGACATTGAAAAAGTCTCACGAGGGGTGATTGGACGTTCACCCATTAGCCCATCCTCGTTTTAAAACAAGTTTGACAAGGGCAAACAAGCAAAGAAGTGGGGGTGCCAGGCATCCTGCCACTGAAGGTCAGACACCACGCTGAAGGAGTGAGGTGCCTGGTACCCCACTGAAGGTCGGGCCCTCGGCAAAGGATGCGAGGCGCCCGATGAATTGCCTATACGCTCTAGTAATCCAAAATAAGTAATGACAGACCTAAAAGAATGAGGTTAGAAGTCATGAGCATCAAACACAAGCGAAGGAGTGAGGCGTTAAATGCCCCACTAAATATCAGGCACCTCGCTTGAGGAGCGAGGTGCCAGACACCCCATTGAAGGACAAGCACCTCGCTGAAGGAGTGAGGTGCCAAGCGCCCTACCAAAGCTCAAGCACCTCGACAAAGGAGTGAGTCGTCAGACGCCTCATTTGAAGCACTTATGCGCTCGTGTAAACCAAAGTAAGTAATGTTATACCTACAAGAGTTAGGTTAGAAGTCATTAACGTAATACATAAGCGAATGAGCGAGGCACCAAGCACCAACTGAAGGTCAGACACCTCGTCAAAGGAGTGAGGTGTTAGGCGCCCTACCAAAGGTCAGGCACCCCGACAAAGGAGCGAGTCGCCAGGCACCTCGTTAAAGCGCCTGTGCGCTCAAATAAACCAAAGCAAGTAATGTTAGATCTACAAGAGTAAGGTTCTAAGTCGTTAGTGTCATACACAGATGAAGGAGTGAGAAGCCAGGCGCCCCACTGAAGGTCAGAAACCTCGCTAAAGGAGTGAGGTGTCAGGCGACTGGCGCCCAACTGAAGGTCAGACACCTTGGCAAAGGAGCGAGTCTCCATGTGCTTGTGCCCCACTCAAGGTTAGGCGCCTGGCTGAAAGAGTGAGGTGACAGGCGCCCAACTGAATGTCAGACACCTAGGCAAATGAGCGAGTCGCCAGGCACCTCACTGAAGGAGTGAGGTGTAAGGCGCCCTATCAAAGGTCAGACACCTCGACAAAGGAGCGAGTCGCCATATACCCCACTAAAGGTTAGGCACCTCGCTGAAGGGGGAGAGGAGAGCGATCGTCAATTTGACGAGTGAATGTTAACGGGTTGGATAATTATTATGGAAAGAAACTACAACAAAAAAGGTAAAAGAGGAGTAATGTCACCCGAGATCATGTAATTTTTGGGTGTTTAATTCATGATTAGAAGAAATTAGGTATGATATTATAAAGAGATGCGAAAAAATTATTTATGGGGACTAAAGAGCACGTCTATAAATGTAAGTGACCCAATTAGTCATCTTTAAATTGAAATTAATAAATCAGTTAATTATTATTAATAATAGTCATTAGATTAGATCAACGGTTTAAAAAACTTGGAGCATACGAGTCTGACCCATATATATATATATACTAGTCATCGGCCGAGCCAATTGGCTAATTTAATTGGCAATAACCTAAATAACGGTAGTAAATTGGGCTCAAGTTAGGGTGCATAACCTTAGACCATCTACAATGTGGGTGGGGGGAAATGTGGGAAAAGAGGGAAAAGTGGGAAAATTGGTTGGTTTGGTCACAGTGTGGCGGTGGGAAAAGTGGGTAATCAGTTTAGTACTTTTTTGTTAAAATCAATCTATAGTTGATTTTGTCACTTTTTTTTCCATATAATGATCATTATTATTACGTACTTAGTGATAATTAATTAATACGAACATTTCGATATAATTTTTTTTAATTTGGAAATATTTTTTTTTCATCACTAATTAAGTATGACATCATTAATTTGGAAAAATGGCCGTTGAAAAATATGGCCGTTAAAAGTGACCGTTGCAAAATATGGCTGTTTGTTAAATCTGTCCGTTGGGGACAAAAACACAACTTTCCAAACAAGCTTTTGCTAAAATCAGGAAAAGAAAATAAAAAAAGAAAAGAATGGGTTGTCCTTTCCTATCCTCCACTTTCCCCCACCATTTGTCTCATCTGGTGGGTTTTCCCACCCTCTAAACCCACAAAACCCATTTAATTCCCTATTCCCCCCACATTGTGGTCACATTTCTCCTTTTTCCCACAAAACCAACCCACATTGTGGATGGTCTTAGACCATCCACAATTTGGATGGGTTTAGGAGAAAATTGGGAAAGTATCTCACAACGTGAGTGGGAAAAGGGAAAAAGATGGAGAAGTTGGAAAAATGGGTGGAATTACCCACTTGTAGAAGACAAAAAAGGGAGGAAGGGCTGGGGGTGGGGCCGCGTCAATTTGATTTTTGTTTTATTTTATTTTTTATTATTATTTTAATGATTTAGTGTTTGTTTGTTTTTATTTTTTCTTAATTATGTTTATGTTCAACTATTAATGTAACAACTTTCTTGTATAAATTATTGTGATTTCGTCATTAATGACGTTAATTAGTGATGAAAAAAATTTATGTCCAGATTAAAAAAAATATCGAAATGTTCGTATTCATTAATTATCACTAACTATGTAAATTTAACGATCATTATATAAAAATAAAGTGTTGAAATCAACTATAAATTGATTTTACAAAAAAAAGTTCAATCAATTACCCATTTTTCCCACCCCCACATTGTGATCAAACCATCTCATTTTCCCTCTTTTTCCTATTTTCTCACATTTCCCACCCTCCCACATTGTGGATGGTCTTATGGTGCATAACATGCATAACCAAATATGTACCCTTCCTTTTAAATGGGTGCACATCTAAAGGCTGTGAATTAAATGCATTTTATTTCCCCTATTTTTCTTAATCATATCATATCTTCTCCATTCCAACTCGGATTTCAAATTTTTTTTTTTTGCACAGATGGAACGAGTCTGTTGTGCTCTACAAAATTAGATTCATTTTCAATATTTTTTGAGAATTTTTTTATACCTCTCGTTACCAACTCCATACCATATGGTATCTCATTCGTTTTTAAGACGTTTTTGGAAATTTTTGCCCAGAAGAAAAGAGTTAATCATGATATATGGAATTCTGTGCTTCATATCCAACGCGGAATTTGTAAGATTGGAATATATTATTATTATTATTATTATTATTATTATTATTATATACTTAATAACTGGATTATTAGAGTCACCTCATGAGAGTTGAGAGACACACACTGATTTATTAGAATCACGTTAATAAGAAACACAAACTTATTTATTAGACTCCTTCAGTCCTTCTCGCTTTAATAGTCCCCCTCTATATGTATACTATATATTACTAGGTTTGAACCCGACCCGTTGGCCGGTTGCATTTCACAAATTACATAAAGAATAATAGAAATTGTTCGAAGAAAGATGGACTCAGCCACTTGGTCGGATTTATTTTGTGAATAAAAAAAATATGAATAGTAAAAGTCAAACATGATGGACCCCAAACCAAGGAGCCGACTCCTAAAAACTTGTTCAAATGACACTTCTACTCTTCTCGCATAGAGATAATTGCATATTTTTTTTGGCCTTGTTTGCATTTCCTCCGCAATTAGTAGAATCATCGTCTCCATCAATACTCCGTTAGTGACACTTATATATTAATTGTAAAATATTATCAAATATTAAGCATCTTTTTCACTAAAATATAATTTACCTCACCCAGTTTATGGGCATTTTCCATGATTTGCTTTCTTCACTATCACCGGTATGATATGAGATTGAATAACAATATGTATCTGTTATATGGAACAATGAATCGGTTATCTAGTGAGGCTATATTCACCATGAATGATTAGTTGTTCTCACCACCCCGATAGATTGCAAAACCACTGCCATCAATAGAAATTTGCCCGCAAATGGACAATATCATTTATTTTTCACAGCTAGGAATACTAATAAATGAATATGAGATAGAGCATGGTTTTTAAATTCTTTTGCAAACTGAAAAAAATTTATCAACAGCCATCTAAACTGAAAAATAATTACCAAACAACTCATGAACGAAGAACGCTTAAAGTAAAATTATGGAATATAACGCACATGTTGTCTCGAAAATTAAGTCTTCTAAAAAATCTCATTCAATCATTGATTTAGGTTCATCTTAAAAGCTCTTGAGAATGTATCACCTCTGTTAGGATCTTTTCGAGAAGCAGTCATTATCAAATTAACCATGAATTGAATCTCGAGCCAATAAGGTTTGCATGAAATTGTAACAGAGAGATCTAGATATCCTGCCTATCCACTGATCATCATAGCATGCTCGAAACTTTCATACTTATATCGAGAACAAATGTATGTGATGAAACAAAAATCACATGGTTTCCACTGAAACATGTCCAAATTACATTTGAAGTACGAAATCCAAGGAATTGGTACTAATGTTCTCGCTTTTATGTTTTATTGTTTTTAATCCAATCTTAATGCTAAGTCTCAAGTACTAAAGCGTAGACATTAACAATTATGGTGTCATTCAATTTAACCCTTGCATGTGGAAATGTTTTTACTAAAATATTACTAAAGTCTAACATATTGTCCAATTGTTGAATAATTGAATTGTGCAAAGGATTAAAAATGAAACTCTAAAGAAAAGAACTAATAGTTTTTGGATTTTATTGTCAATGTCATGGATTTTGAGTTGCGAAATTTTTGTTATGTTTCTTTCAGTAGGTATCAAGGTAACAACTCGATAATATGCTTGATTTTCAATAGGATAAACATATAATTCATGTCCATCATTTTTATATAGGTCAAGTTTACCTCCAATAGAAATTAATGAGAATATCCTATTAAGCTTAGGATGTGTTCCAAAAAGTGACATCCAGTCGAATTATTTGCTTGCAATATAATATTAAAAAACCTCTAGATGATACTTTCGAGAAGGGAAATTCACTTTGTTTTATTCTGCAACATAACAGAAACCTGTTCTTATTGGAATTTCTGGTGGATTTAGTACTTTCATCCTTCCGCATCACTGCTACATAACATTCATATTGATATGACGGATGGCCAATATCAAACTCTTTTAAAGCTACGATAAATAAAATTGTAGCTTAACTATGACAAATACATTTTATAAAAAATTAAAAATTAATTAAAAAATAAAAATCAAATATCATAAAGATCTAGAAACCTATAATGTCTCTAGAGCGCATCACCTGAATATGATTATGATTTATGACAATTTTTGACATGTTCAATCTATCTTAACAAACTATTTCTCGTAGTGTGCAAGTTATGCATCACATTTTGGAGTCATGCATAGCAATTAGTCAAATAAAAAAAATCTTAGAAGCCAACAAATGATAATATATAGATTGAAAACAAACAAGAAATCAGTGGATTATCATTAGGAATGTTGATGATAGTTCTCCATATATGTTGTTGTCTTATGTACAAAGTATATATCCTTATTGTTAATTTTTTCGACGCTTTAAAAATGACTCAAAGAGACAGTAGTATTCAAAGTATTTGAAGCAGCTTTTGGCCCCAATCTTTCTGCGGCAAGGACAGACATTCACAATTTGAACCAGGTTTTGGCGACTTGAGCCCAACCCCAACCCCAACCTTTCTGCGGCAAGGATTTCTTCGCCAACAGTTGGGACCTTAAATCCTGGCATAATCCAACTGATACCATGTGATCATGCTTCACACACTACACAACAACAAAAAAATATATGGCACAAGTCAGATTAAGAATACAAGGTAATGGCCGCAATAAAGGTTTAACAAGAGACAAACAACAATCCATAATACGTTCTAACACAAACAACAATATGTGTAGTGTAGAACGATCAATGCAGTCAAAATCGCGCTTTCAAACTTAAAAGCTTACGCTTTTATCTTTCTGAGTCATCAAAATGCTGCGTCTACGTAAAATCGTTATTTTTCCTTATAAATGTAGTCAAAATCTACATTTTAAAACTTAAAAGCTTAATCGCGCTTTTAACTGCATTGCGTATGATAGATAGATACCTCTTTATAACGCATCAGCAGCCACTGCCTGCGGGTTAGACCAATGCCTGGAAGCACAGGTTCCTTAGAATCTGCAAACAATCACAGCTAGATGGGTAAGAATTTAGTCAAGAAATTAAACTCAGACCACAGTTGGCAATTCATATCCATATAGAACCGCTGGCTGGCGTACCAAGCTACAACTATTAGGCGCAGTAGACATATATTAGGCACAATTAGCTACGACGGACGGATATATTGCAGAAGAAAAAGAAGAAGAATGGGGAATATGTAATGTAATTATTAAATAGAGAAATAAATAAAAACAAAACCAACCTCAAGAAACACCGGCGGCCCTCGCCGGTTTCTTTGGTCGGGGTTTGGGTCCTCCGGGAGAAAGGTACCCATTCTGTAGCGCCTGAAAGAACAATACGAAGCCGTTGCAGCACACCGTCCTCGTCATTAGGATCTGTTGAATCGGTTGGCCTAGCTTATAGCTTCTCGTTTTCCAAGTCCCACAACCGCACGGAAACCCTAATTAACCGGCCGTCAAAGTTAGAGTAAGCACCTTCTTTCGTTTATTTTTTTTCCTTGCTTAGATTTTATAGCTCTTCGATCTTCTTCGTCTTGGATGGAAAAGGTTTAGGGCAAAGGAACTCGTTTGCCGCCCCTGCCGGTTGACATTTTCTGTTAATTACATATATATATTCCTCTCTTTATAACAACTAGTTTTGAGCCCGGTCGGCCGAATGTCCTGGGCTATTTGTAGGATTAGGCCCATATATAACAGACCTACTACACGTTCAGCCACTTTCAGCTTCTGTCTAATTTACTTGTGTGCTTAGCTTATGGGTTGGCCCAAACAATTTGATCTGGTATTTTAAAACAAAAAGCCCAGTTACATTTCAAAGCCCACACATCACTTGTCATTGCATGTTTAGTTCTCTACTGTTAAAGTCAGGTGTTTCTGGCTTTCATTAGTTGGTGTAGCAAACTACTACTTAGCCATTGATTGTCCATAACTATACTCCTCCAAATACAGGGAGAACTAGGCTTGCTGTTTTGGTTGCCCTAAGAGTTGGGTGGCTTGTGCATTATAAACTGATGTCTTGGTCCATTATGAGCTAGCTCGACAGTGCACGACTAAGGTATTTCCATTAAACCACCCTTGTAACATTACTATCAAAGACTACATGAAAATGATCAAATTAACGACGAATTGACAAGAAACCGATTAGATAAGAAGCTGAACTAAGGATTGAAAATTTGAATTGGTAGTCGATAGGATAATGGAAATGGACTCTCTCTAATAAGAGACGATTATCAAAATGTTGAAGAGTCATTTTGCACATCATAATCATCTGGATTAGATTTTTAGGCAAGAAATTGAAGTGGAAGTTGATTCATTCACACTTGAGTTGAGTGGACGTGGACTCATGGAGTCTAGTGTGCATGGTCGAGTAAGTATGCGAAACACTTTGTGGGCAGCTGAAGAACAAGTTGGCCACTTGGATGGGAATCTAATAAATCACTTCTTTCGGCACAAATTGACAACATATATCTATTTCCCCCCTTTTATAATAATTTCATTGATAGCCATTTAGCATAATTTCAAAATAGTTGGTAGGAATAATAAATCAAATAATTACACCTCAACACTCAACAACCTAACCTAACCCCTTAGGAAAGTCCTTATCCATGCTCACTCATTCATAGCTATTTGTATCAATCGTGACATATTAACATGTCCTTATAAATGTCACTATTGAAATGGGCTATGACATATTGAAATGTCACAAGACATGTCACTATTGGTATTAACTATAACAGTTTGATATGTTTCTAGAAATGTCACTATTTGCATCACTTACGACGCTTTAAAATGTCACAAAAGATGTTATTATGCTACGATTATAAGTGTCGCAATATGTAAAATAAATGTGACACAAAAGTGGTACTGACAATTGTAACAAATAACACAAAAGAAGTTAGTGACACTGGATTATGTGACATTTATGTGTCATTTGTGTAAAACGTCAGTACAACACTATTGTGACATTTTTCTACCTTTTAATGACAATTTGACTGAATTTTAAATTGTCACTTCAACTGTTTTTTTTTTTTGTGGTGTAGCAAGACATGTATATTAAGCATGTTACAACATATCATTCTTGTTTTCAATAGTCGCAGAAATTCGACGATTTCTAATCTAAAACTCGATGGCTCGTGATTTAAGATTAGTAATTTAAAATAAAGTATGTTTATATAAAGGCAAATTTTATAGTTGATTATTTAACTTTTCAATTACGTTATCCGGTAACTTGACAATTGTATTTAGACAATGACGGACACACGAGTCATTGAGGGTGTCCTGGGACACCCCTAAATTTTGGGAAAACGATTATCCAACTCCTGGTGGTAAATTACGTATGGGCAAATAAATTATTATTGATAGTCGGGGACACCCCTGAAATTTGAAAAAATAATTATCCTACTCTCATCTTTTAGTTTGCTTAGGGGAATATAAATTGTAGTTTGAGTAATTTAAACCTATGACACTATTATTAATAATAAAATAATTTTATTTAGACCACAACTCATTTGTTGTTCGATTTTAAACCCTGTGTAATAGTAAAATATCATTCCCTATCTCTAATTATTTTCAAAACCTAACAATTAAACAAATTATTTTAAATACTGTTGTACGACAAGTGTTGAAAGAGTCTTTTCAGCTTTGGGTTATATAAAAAAAAACAAGTGTAAAAATCGAATATGTGATAAGTTAGTGAATGATTCTAGTAGGATATACAAAGGCAATTTTTAAAGGAATTTTTTTTATTAGGATAGACACCTAGTGTATTCTATAGTTATTTTCGAATATGAAAATACTTTGACTTTTTTTAATTCATATGATTCAAGTATTTTCTTAAATTATAATTATTTAATTTTTATTAAATTTAATTTTTGAAAGAGAACACCATGTAAAATTCGTAGGTCGGCCATGATATTGAAAAATGCATTGTGGTGGATACTTTAGGTGTTCTCTTTCTTAAAAATATAAACAACCTAACCCCAAAATGCTGATGATAATTATCCATTTTCTAAAATTTCAATAGGCCGAATTAGACGATAATCACCAATTATAACAGAAAGCGACAAATTCCCATCCATAAATCCCTTTTATTTTCAAAATGTAATTTTCGACCACTTCAAATCCTCGTAGAGCCGCTTGTTACCTCTCTCTCCCCTCCTACCAAACCCTTTTCTTTCTGCGCCTCTCTTTTTTCGCGTCCGATTGTTGTTGTTTTCCTCCCATTTCCTCCGGCCACCGTCTCTCCTCCGTTGCTGAAATGGCTGCTTCTTCCACCCTCTGCCCTAAGCTTTCCGCATCCGCCGCAGGCGGCTTTGCGTCTTCCTTCAACTGCCGCTCCGATCCTTCCGGAAACCACCACCAGACGAGACCCGGCCGATTCTCCTCCTCCTCACGAGTCAACTCCGTCGGTGTTCATGGATCTTTCCTCACGGGCGGTGGCGGCTACGGGATGTCGTCGTCTCTCATCCTGAGGTTCCCTCCCAATTTCGTCCGCCAGCTCAGCAACAAGGCTCGCAGGAACTGCAGCAACATCGGCGTCGCGCAAATTGTCGCGGCAAAGTGGTCTGACAACTCATCCACCGGTTCCGCGGCTGCGGCTGCGAACGCAGCCGCCGCCGCCTCTCCCGCAGTCCCCGCTGTCGAGGAGTCGGTCGAGCTGATCGCCGGTGCCAATGGACCGGTGGTTGATGGGCTCGATGGGAAAGGAGATGTACAGGATTTGACTAACAAGTTAACGTATGGTTCGTTTTTGAGCTCCGATGGAAGCATCGCAGTTCATGCTGGTACGTTCCCCTCGCAGCTGAATGTTCCCTCATTTCGCCGTTTTGCCCCTTGTGTTGTTGTGGCTCGATCTGTTTGGCTGAGCTTTTGCTGTTTGGACTTTCCGGCAGGTGAAAGATTGGGTCGCGGCATTGTTACGGATGCAATTACAACTCCAGTGGTTAATACTTCGGCCTACTTCTTCAAGAAAACTGCAGAGCTTATTGATTTCAAGGTTTTATGGATGTGATCTTTCAATGTGATGACTCCTAAGGATCCAGGTGTTATTATGTTGCTGATTCGGATCTTATTTTGCAGGAGAAGCGCCATGTGAGCTTTGAGTATGGTCGCTATGGAAATCCAACCACCGCAGTTGTGGAGGAGAAGATAAGGTCACTTGAGCTTCTCGTTTAAGCCTATCTTCCATCTCATGCATGTCATATCTCTATCTGCTGAATTTACAATCTGGGTTTTACTGATCTTCTCGGTATTGGTTTTCATCTTGATCTAGTGCTCTTGAAGGAGCTGAGTCAACTTTGATCATGGCATCTGGGATGTGTGCTAGTACTGTCTTGTTAATGGCCCTGGTTCCAGCTGGTGGACATCTCGTGACAACCACTGATTGTTATAGGAAGACCAGGATCTTCATCGAGACTATGCTGCCTAAGATGGGAATCACGGTACCTATTCATACTTGCTTGCAGCTCATATAAGCAAATACTTGGCTGGGCTGTAAATCATCTGTAATAATCATTGCTTTATGCTGTGATAGTACCAAATCTAGTTCTTGATTGCTCAGAGAAACATGAGTTCCTTGCTATAAATTTTATGCCTTTTTTCAGTTTTTTGGATTTGATTTGATTGCTGGTGATTATGCAGGCTACAGTGATCGATCCTGCAGATATAGAATCCTTGAAGAATGCTCTTAATGAGAAAAATGTCAGTTAGAGTTTGAGAAAGTTCCTCTGTTTCCTTTCTATGTCCTAAATGCTACTGCTTACTTTGGAAGATATAATTTCCACACAGGTTTCACTTTTCTTCACGGAGTCTCCCACCAACCCTTTCTTGCGGTGTGTTGACATTGAGCTGGTTTCAAAGCTTTGCCATGAGAAAGGAGCATTGGTCTGCATAGATGGTACCTTTGCAACACCTCTCAATCAAAAGGCCCTTGCCCTTGGTGCAGATCTAATTTTGCATTCTGCAACGAAGTTCATTGGGGGCCATAACGATGTAAGATTTCTGGCAGCGCTTAAATCATGAAATAAAACCTTTCTGATCGTCTAGCTATTTTGCTTTTGCTAAAATTGCCTGAACTTGTGTTTTGCTTTCAGGTGCTTGCTGGTTGCATCAGTGGTTCAATGAAATTAGTTTCAGAAATTCGCAACTTGCACCATGTTCTTGGCGGAGCTCTTAACCCTGTCAGTTCAATTGATTTGGTCACTTTCTTCTCCTATTCTGGATTGGTTTCTCTGAATGAATAATTACAAGAACTTTTCTTCTTTCAGAATGCTGCTTACTTGATCATTCGAGGCATGAAGACACTGCATCTTCGTGTACAGCAACAGAATTCTACTGGACTGAGGATGGCCGAACTTTTAGAGGCACATCCCAAGGTTTGTACGACACTGCTTCATCATCATCACTTCTTTGGGTTTTCCTGTATGATTCGTTGCCGCAATATAAATTTTGCTGGTAACTAGACATTTATTTTGCAATGCTTGACCGTAAATATCATGTATCCACGTCTCATATAATGTTATTTGACAGATAAGTCATGTTTATTATCCTGGCTTGAAGAGTCATCCTGAGCATGACATTGCAAAGAAGCAAATGTCTGGCTTTGGTGGCGTTGTCAGTTTTGAGGTATGATAAACTTTCAGGAACTTTTATGTACTTACCAATACATCATTGATCAATATTGTTCTTCACTGTATTATTTATGGTTATCATCTTTATTATTGCCTTAATGTTGCTAGGTTGATGGAGACTTGGAAACTACCATAAAGTTTGTGGACGCATTGAGAATTCCGTACATTGCCCCATCTTTTGGAGGATGTGAGAGCATTGTTGATCAGCCTGCTATCATGTCTTACTGGTATGCGAACAAATGCAATTTCATTTTGTAGCTTTCCATGATATTCTGTGTCTGTGTGTTTGTTTTCTGTGTTTTGATAATACGGGCATGAGAATAGGACGTCGTTGCCTGTATGTACGCCGGGAAATTTTTAGGATTTCCTTTATTACTCCCTTTCTGTGAGTGGCCTATTTTGTTGGCCTATAAACCTTATGAAAGAGATGGCTCTTCCTTACTTTGTTATTTTGTCCAATTCATCGTATATGTTGAAAGATTTCCATGAGAGCAAAAGGTAGTTCCTGATCGATGCTACCTCTTAGTAATTATAATTTTTATATGGTTGAACCCTCGAACATGAGTTCAATCTTATAATTATGGCTGAAATAAGGAACATAGACGTATATATCCTAGAGGAAATATGAAACTGAGTTGTATCAATGCCTAGGAGGGACTTTACTAGTTAGCCAGGGCAAACAACTTATCGACCAATTCAAGATGTTCTGTTCACTTTTTTTCATCTTCAATAAATGGATTTCTCCCGTAGTACTAGTGTACTACTGGATCAAGGATTATGCGTCCTGGACAATATGGCCTAGGAGTTTGTGTTAAGTACAGAACCCTCATCCGAATGCAGATGTACAGTACAAGTGTTGACCCTGATTTGCTGTGTTCGTCACTATTTAGCCTAGTTGCGTTTCTCTCTTATTATTGCCAGACATTTTTAGAGATGGTTATGACTCTCAGTCTGTGATTAAGTGTGTAATCATATGTTCGAATGCTTTCATAACTCTATATCAGAAGAAGAGTTAATTAACTTCTTTGGTGAGAATTGCAGGGATCTTCCTCGGGCAGAGAGGGAGAAGTATGGGATTAGAGACAACTTGGTGAGGTTCAGCTTTGGAGTCGAGGACTTCAACGATCTCAAGGACGACGTACTTCAAGCCCTGGCAGCCATATGATCGTGATGAGGAGGTTGTTCATCCAGAATGACTTCAACCGTGTTGGTGTTGAAGCTTTTAGGAATACCTGGGAGGGCTTCGCAGTACTTTCCTCTTCCCGTTCTTCTGCTGTATTCATTTCCCGCGCCCTTGTTGCCATGTCCCATGTGTGGATCCCTGTTTCATTATCCTCTAATTGTCGCACTTTGTTTTCTTCTGTCGTTGGTAGTTGCTTGATGGACAGAAACTGTCATTTCCGTGAAACCTATTAACACTTTCTCCATCTGGGAATGTGGCTTTTTCCTGCATCTATTCTCTGCTGCCTTCCAACTGATTTTAGATTGGTAATTAGGGTGGTGCACACTTGATGTCGTGTAGGTCACGAAACCATCAAGTCCACTAATTCATTGTTGTTACTTATGTCTCTTGTGGATGTGTGGTACTGTGGCAGGTGCCTTGGCTTTTTAGTCGCTGAAGCCAATTTCATTTATTTAACTTTTTGTGGAGCTCACTCTGCTAAGGATCATAGTTCGAGTTGAATGAGAAACCACAGGCCACAAACAAGCGTTATTTTGTAGTTTGAGAAGCCAGCCTGGGAGAAGAGTTGGGACCACTGTGGTTCAGTTCTTATGCTACCTTCCAAACAAGCCATCATCACCATGTCAGTGAACAACAGCGTTCCCTCGGAGACCTGATCGTTGCAGCTCTCGTGGCCAAGAACATGATCTGCTATCATCACCTTCCCTGCACCACCAGCACCACCACGATTGCTCACCGCTTTCTTGCATTGCTTCAACAGCTCCATGCAGGCTTCGTCCTCCAACTCAATCAGCACCCTCTGCAAGCGATCGATCGAGCCAGGTTTGATGAACCAAACATTCACAAAACAACCAACATTCGCGCAATAATGATGTGTAAGTACTATACCATCAAGAGCACGGCATCTGCTGGCGGGATGTCCTTAAACATGTCCCCTCCGACGTACCGAAGATTGGGCTGGGCAGCAGCTTCCAACCCAGCAACCGCATGAGGAAGATCAAACACTGTGATGTCGATGTCGGGAAAGGCAGCAGCGAGGACCTGACCGGTGGTTCCAGTACCACTGTTGCGCCCTACGTCCACAAGCGAGCTCAGCCCCTCAAACACACCTGACGACGATCCACACTTGGCCACCAAAGACGCGGCGAACAGCGAGCTGTCACACCCCAACCCGTCGTGGTAAAGCCGGCTGACCCAGGGATCAGCAGCCGCAACTTCATACAGTTTCTTGCCACCATTAGCAAACGCGAACGGAGGCTGCTGCTGCTGTTTTTCGTCCTCGTTCGCTGTCCGAAACCAAGTGCTCATACTGCGCCAAGGGTCGAGCATGATGGGATGGGAGCCGAGGAGGAGCATTGACCTTCCGCCGAAGGGGTTGTCCTTGAGCAGGAAGCGAGACAGTGGCGTCAACCAGAAGCTGTCGTTGTGTTCGACGAAATAGCCTAGATGAACGAGGACGCGCATGAGGCGGGCCATGAACGGAGCTTTGGCGGGGGAGATTTGGAGAGCGGAGAGAAGCTGGTGGAGGGTCATGGGACGGCCGTGGCTCTGGATGACGTCGGGGATCTCCAGCTGAACTGCGCACTGAACCGTCATGGTGCTGATGTAGCCATTGGTGTGTGCCCACACGGTGGGCTGATGCTCCGCAAGCTCCAGCGCGCTGCTTGCTGCTGCTGCCGCTTGCATTTCCGGTAGCTCCTCACTTAGCTTGGAGAGTCGTTGCTTGTTGTACCTGCTAGTTGATTTAGCTTTTGATATAGCATCGAGTTGTTTGTTTGTTTGTCAGGAAAAGAGAGTGATTTTGTCCTGGTGAACTAACTAACTTATTACTATAGCTGTTAATATGAGCTGATTGGCTGATAGCGTGTAGGTCACGAAATCTTCAATGTTGTTGCTTAGTGGATGTGTGGTAAGCGGCCTTTTGTACGAGAGGAATCTATGGCAAACAAGAAATAACAGTAACGATTGTTTAAAATTTGGTGAATTTCATATATGATCAATTATTAAACTTGTTTACGTTCATATCGAATCGAAGTATGAAAACCAGTTAGAAAGTCGGTGGGGAGAGATGAGGTGATAGTAGAGGTGAGGAAGAAAAAATTGAGATGGAAAAAAACATTCAATGATACGTATGTTTGTTATTTAAAAAATTAAAATTTGTTGTTGTCTATGAGATTAGATGAAAATAAGAAGAATTGGATAACCAATGATCAATGTAGAAAATATTTAAAATTAATTATTAGTAAGAAATAATTATTTATTGAATAAGAACAAAAATAATTAACGAGTGATCAAATATATAGTTTAGTCGAATGAAAAAAAAATTGTACGGCATCAAAGGGTAACAAACTAAAGATAGGAGGATGTGGAATGCGCAAGATTGTCAAATCGGTTGATACCGTTGTGTCGCTTTGGCAAGTGGAATAGTACGATCGGTGGTATAACCAGTTTGTACCGGTTAATGCTGGTTTAAAAAAAATGCGACAAGAATTAATATCCAATGTATTTAATTATATATAAAACATATTTTTGGACAATCTAGTTATAATCCAACAAATATCAACAACTTTTAACTATTAAATTCATAAAATGAATTAATTAAATTCATTAAAATGAATTAATTAAATTCATTAAAATGATGTCATTTTATTTAGAAAACGCAAAGCGATCATACCATTCATACCGGGGATGTTATGCCGGTTTTATTACCGGCACAAGTTGAACCAAATTCAACTGGGTGACATACCACCGGCATGACAACCATTAGAATGCGAGTTCCTTTTTGCGGCTCCCCTGCCTCCCCACAGATTAGGAAAACCGCAATCCTGTGGGTTCGTGGGCTTCCTGAACCAGTCTGGGTTTAGTCCCAAAAGCCCAATACAATGAATCTCGCCGAAGAATTGAATACTACTGTGAGGACTGAGAGCAGTCTGAGCAGTGAGAGAGAGGGTAAGAGTAGCATTTGCATGGGGCAGCGTAGCCGCCTGTTTCAGGGTTGTTCCCCAAAAGCAGAGAGCAGAGCAAACCCATGGGTTCGGATGAGAGCTTCCCCTTGTTTCAACTGCCAACCACCGTTTCCCTCCACACTTATATAAAGGAGAAGCCAGCCCTCTCTAATTCCATAATCATCTTCGCTCACTGCTACTCTTCATTGAAGACCAGTCTTCTGTTTTCTTGAGAAAAAGGAGAAGAGGGAAGGAAGGAAAGAAAAGAGAGATTCAGTTAGCACTAGCAGCAGAGTATTTTTATTCAATCAGGATCCATGGAAGGAGTTCAGGCATGGGTTTCCAAGCACAAGCTCGGCACCATTGGTAAACTATAGTCTATATACACAGCACAATGCCCTCGTACAGCAATCATCTTTACATATATATCCACTTCAGTTGGCTGATATCTCAAGAAAATGTGGATATGCAGGAGGAATATGGGCAGCAGCAGTTGGAGGCTCATTCGCTGTCAACAATCGGTCGTCTACTCCGGCTCTGAAGCCCAGTCTTAGGCTCATCCACGCCAGGTAAGCTAGCTAGCTTGGTCCATCCATCCTTAGTCGATTCATGCATTTTAATTACCATCCCTTGATTGAGTAATTAATTACTTGAAATTGAAAGTGGTGAATTCATGAATTACTGCCGCTGCAGGATGCACGCACAGGCCATAACATTGGCAGTACTTTCTGGAGCAGCAATCTACCATCACTTTCATGATCAAAATTAGGAAGCGACAGTGGCAGGGTTGACTGGATGACGACGACAATTTTATTGGAGGGCTTAGAGTTATAGAATCTTTGCTCTTCTGTATTTCTTTCCTGCACAGGTTATGTATGTTCTTATGGACGGCATACCTTCTTTCAATAACAAAATTTCTTCCACGACCTTGTCACTCTGTCTCCATTTCAATGTGTTCATATCGAAAGGGGGGAAGCACACTTAGAATCCCAACTTGAGGCATCAAAATTTCCACGGAGTAATTCTCATTACAGATATGAAGTATGAACTGGTTTATATGGTACATGATCATTTGCTGCATAACTATTAGCACAAATAATGTACATCTACCAATATGGTACACATCCTCAACAATTACATGATCAGAAGAAGAACGTTACAAGCAATAAGTGTGATAAGTGATAACTATAAGAAGAACAATAATCCCCATCTTATCTATCTATCTATCAATTCGGATAAGGGGCAGAGTCCCCTCTGCCTCTGCACCGACTAAAGCTCAATCGATCACCATGAAATTGCGACTTGCAAGCCAGGAACACGCGATCCAACAAATGTGAATATGTAAGAACTATATACACGGGGAAAGCTATATAACAAACCCTAGAGAAGCTTCTTCCTCTCAAAGTAATTCCTGAGATGCCACGACTGCAGACCGGCCACAGATACACATACCACGAGAGATAAGAAACCCATGATTGCCATTTCCGAGTTGGTCGACCTGTTCAGTTCTTGCATTTCTTCTTCTCTGTCGCGAAGGTAGTACATTTCTGCATGAACATTTCTTACTGTAACCGACAGCTTCCTCAACTCAATCTCCATAGCCTACCACACCAAGAAAAAAACACCAAAACAGAGGTCACTCATTCATCATCCGTTAATTAGCAAAGCAGCAGCAACAACAATGCAATCATGTCCAAATTCGGGCCACATATATGAATTGAGGTAGAGTAATGATTACTTCAATGTTGCCTTTCTTGGCGACATTAGACCAATCTCTAGCTTCAACGCCGGATCTCCAATCGAATTCAACGATGGTGGTGAGTGGCGGCTCGTGCATAGGTGACCAAAAGCATGCAGAGTAGGGTCCATTTTCTGATGCTGTGAAAGCAAATGTACCCTTCTCCACCTTATCCCCGTAATGGTAACTTACCCCATGGGGTGATGTCACCTGCAACCCAAAAAAAACAGTACATACAAACGTTCATACTTGACCCTTTCTTAAGAATTTACGGTTCTCAAAACGAAAGTAGTTCTCGACATGGTATCCAACAATGTTTATGAATGACAGGTATTAATAACGTAGATATACAAACACGAGATGTATACAATGATGCATAGGGAAGAAGATAAAAGAAAAGTTACCCTGACAGTGACGTTGGGATCACCTTTGATAGGGTCAACGATACTGTAAGATCCCACGGACATGGTGTCGGCCTTGACGTCCTCGGATATGCATTTGGTCTCCCCGGAGTGCATGTCGAACCGCATAGATTCTGCCACCTTTGAACCCGATCCGAATATTAACATGATTATAATTAACCAACAGCTCCATCTCCACATCGTTATGTATTCCACCATTCCAGAGAGATATATATCTTCGAACAGAGAATATAGTAATTCAAAAGACGCTTTCTAACCAGGATTCCCCTGTTTCAGGATTTTTTTTAACACAAGAACTAGGAGATGTTTGTCGGCTGGTGGGTTGCCTGAAAGGTAGAAAGAGTATGGATGATAAGAAAGGGAAAATTGAATTATTGAGATTAACCAATCATTTTGTCCTCCCTTTGACATTTCATGGACTTCCAATTTAGCAGGTTTAGAAAGAGATCTCCTGATTTCAACTTCTAATTTTTCCAGCATTAAAACAATTTTCCCTTCTCAAAATAATTGATAACCTCAGAAAATTTCCTCTACTCTCCGCAATTTTGGTAAAAAGGAAAAACAAGATTTTTTTTAAATACACATTTTTTTCTTGGTCGAAATCACATTAGACCTGAGTATATCGGGAACCATTCAAAGATCTTGTAACAGGAGAAAGGATTCAGCACTCCTAGAAGTGAATAAGTGATTCCATTGAGTCTCTTGATAAGTTTGGCAATACAATGCACATTTGTACTCAAATGAGTTGATATATAATATCAATGACATTACGATACCTTAGTCAAGGTCAATAAAGTAGGTTGAAATCAGACAAGTATTACATGTTCCACTGTTCGTGCTCAATTGTGATATTTGAGATGCAAAGACTCCCATGTATTGCTAATTACAACAATATTGGTGGTCGAATACTAAACCTCTCTTTATCGTCCTGTCAAGTGTTTGTTGATGTCATCCAGAATCCAAATAAGGTTGGACCCTGGAAAGTGAGAGCATGAATTCAATGAACGAGATAGATTCTCCAATCGAATGGGTTAAATCGATTATATTCCAAGTTTGGCTAATAAGAGAGCAACTTGGGTTGCTAAGGAAGTGACGAATGGATCTCTCTCTTAATATTGGATCATAGTGCTTAATATTGTTCATCCACCGTTGTAATTTTGATAGGTTTGTACTCCACTCCTTGAAATGAATGGAATTCATTTGTTGTAAGAAAAAGTGATGCTAGAGGCCACTTCGTATTAATGACATTTTGGGTCCGTTCAAGGACATTCGATAAAATTGGAACGATACAGAGAATATATTAATGACCTTTGGGCAACGTGATAAAATATAGTGGGCCCACTAAGAAACTTTGTTTGAGAAATGTACAAATGCTAGAGGCCACTTGATGTTCAATTTAGGAATCCTTGTTTGATTATGATTCCTAATATTCTACAAGTTATAATTTAAAGTAAAATTTGTCCTTAGCAAGGAACCCTAATCTGATTTAATAGGATTAGTATTCAACGTGATTAGAATTTCAATAGGCATACTGATAAGATATAGTTTTATAGTTGGACTAGCAAAACTTAATTTCATTGAAATCCTAGTGTGATTAGGAAACCCAGTTGGATTAGATTAAAATATAGGAAAGGAGTGAAAAGGTACTTGTAGGAGAGAATGATAAAGTTTGGAGTATTTAATGCAAAATGTACCCTATAGCTAGGTTATGGTTTAGGTAGTCTACAATTCTCTATCACTCAAAACTATCCTCTTGGGGAATTCATATACAAGAAATGAGTTTTACACATTGTACGAGATATGAGTCGCCATATAGATTACTAAGGAAGTCTTATACACATTCCTTGCAAATATAGAGCCCTAGACTTGAGGTTACCAAAAGGAACCGTAATTACTAACGGTGCATTTTGATACTTTACTTCGTCGCTTTTGCCTAGGTGAATGATGATGAGGTGAACAAAATCATGAATTAATACACATATCATCTCATTTTCTTATGATAAACTACTCTAACCTCCCCCTAGCAAGTGGTTGCAATGGTTCCCCAGAAAAAGGGAAGGAAAATGAAAGCCAAAAGAAGGGGAAAATGGAAGAAGAAGAAGAAAACAATGCAGCTCATAGAAATAGATAATTGGCACCATATATTAATTCAAAAACTAAAGTCGACTATTTTCTTACTTTGTTTTCCCACTCTAAAGTTCAACTCTCTTCTACTACTACACAGAAGTAGTAGCTTGTTGCTAGCTTGTACCACTACTACTCACTTCCCATTGGAGAAAAATGGTGTGGCAGAAAAAGAAGAAAAAAATAGCAAAATCAATTACTTGGGTAAGTTTGACTAAGGAACGAATCCTTATCTTAAAAGGATTATAAGGAAGGCAATGCTTCCTCTCATGCTCCATATTTTTTCTTGATAGTTATACAAAATTTCCTTCTTTTACTATTTCATTTTTTCCTTTGTCCCGGGAAACCAATATTTCAGAGTTGATAATCAAACCAGGCCCAGATACACAAATGGAGCTTCCTCCTACAAATGGGGACTAACAAGCTCTTGCTTCAACCCCAAGCAAAAGCTGAGCATTCTTTTTGGCATCCAGGTGTCCCAAGTCATTGAAGTTTCTGAAATTTCCATCTGGGTCCCTTTCCTTTGCATCACATTTCTGAAAAATCCACCATTTTCATTTACTCTGCGACCTTATATGTTCATCTATACCATGATTCTGTATGTATTACCATTCGACTATTTACCTCTATCCAACCTTGACCTTCGAGCTACTCTGCGTATTTGATTCTCGTTCTTCCGTAACAGCTCCCCAATCTGGTTCGACTGCGCAACTTTGTTTGATTGAGACAACAATGGTCCCGAGAACTGTATAGTGTCCGATTGATGCACGGGATCATGCTGAACATATAACAAAGTCATTTCTAAATTCAAAATCACATAACCATAATGTGTTCCACATCAATGTTAAGAGAATCAAGCTCGCTCAACGTACTGTGGCGTGGCTTAGAGGAATGTCTTCTGCAATCACATATGACAGAAACGCTTTGAGCGAATCCGGTGGTGGTGCATCAAATTGGTTCTGCTGCTGCTGCTGTGAAGATATCGTGTGTTGCTCCTTGTTGTGACAATCTTGTTGTGATTGTCTGTCGACATCCCTTGCTCTACGTTCTGCATTCAAGTTTGGGAACTTGAATGGGGCATCTAGTCCACTAACTTGGCTCCCGTTGGTGTCGTAAGACAAGGTTGACAAGAGGTCGTCTCTTCGCTTTCTTGTCGTCCAAGCAAACCCGCTCGAGGCAGAGATGGCTGGTGCTGGACCGGTGTAAGCCTGATGCTGATGTTGTCGTTGTTGTTGTTGTTGTTCTCCTTTCTGCAACCGAGTTGGTACCACGGTTGTGTTTGACTCCATGCTCAGCTCTCTACGCAGCCCGATCCCTCCTCCTCTTCGTTGGCCTGCGTGTGGATGATTCGCGTTCACCTTGGTCAAGGATGGCTGGTTGTTGTTCTCCTTCACTTCCTCTCTCAGGATCAACTTGCTGAGGCTGCCTCCCCTGTGATGAGTTGCTTTTGGCCTCTTTAGTACTGATTCTCGTGGCTTCAAACTACTCTTCTTCCTGCACAAAGGAGAAAAGAAAGAATATGATTTATGGAATTGTCCCAACTCGGCGTTAAATCAAATCTAAAATAGCTCTTACCTTCTTCTGTCCTCCCTATACTTGGCATCCATTTCCTTGTTAGGTGGGTATTTTGGCAAGGTTGATGGATCACATGCATATGGTTCCGAGTTAATGAACTGCATAACAAGACAACCAAAATCAATCAAACTGAATTGAACCAAAACCACAGTAAGTTACACACAACAACATTATACGATTAGTACCCTAGACATAAGTGCAGAGGAAGCAGAACCACGCTTCTCAGGATCAATAGAGATCAAGCACTCTAACAAGTCCACTGCTGCAGGCGGGAAATCCTTACACCTTTCCTTCAAAGAGCTCTCATATGGATGTTGCGGTCTAAACATTGTGGCATTTGGTAGATGATGATACTGCTTCCAGAACTCGTCCGGAGGCGACCCACATAGTTTGAAGATCTTATGCAGCTGTTCCACCTCCGTCCTCCCCTTTAGCAATGGCTTTCCAGTCAAAAGCTCGGCGAACACACACCCCACGCTCCACAAATCCACCGATACGTTGTAGCTCGTGGACCCCAACAGAAGCTCCGGCGGACGATACCTATTAGAGTACGAACAGCGCGAGTCATATAAATGTGATAAATTTCTGAACCAATTCATGAACCCAGGAACCAATTTGAACGCAACTCATAAGTCCACTAAACAAAAGGAATAAACTATGCTACTACGATTAGTAATCTGTACCAGAGCGTGACAACGCGGCTGGTGAGCCGCTGCTTCCCGCCGGAAGTGGCGAGGACGTTGGCCAGGCCGAAATCGGCGAGCTTGAGGATGCCGTTGTTGTTGACGAGGATGTTGGACATCTTGATGTCTCTGTGCATCACGCCGCGAAGGTGGCAGTGCTCGACCGCGCGGAGGAGTTGTTTCATGTAGCACTTGATTTGGGGCTCGGTGAGGTTGATTTCAGGGGAAGAGGACAGACCGGCGAGGTCGTGTTCCATGTACTCGAAGACGAGGTAGATGGAGCTGGAGAGGCGGGAGGTGATGATTCCTTCGAGCTTGATGATGTTCGGGTGGTCGAGCCGGCGGAGGATCAGGATTTCTCGGGCCATGAATCGAATGCTCTCCGGTTGGTAGTTGTCGAATCGGACCTTCTTCAGGGCCACCATTCGTCCTGTCTCAACTTCTCTTGCTTTGAATACGCTGCTGTACGTCCCTTGCCCAATCTGAACATACATCTTTGCATAATCTGTTATTGATTCTGGAAAATTGATGTTTGATTGGAAGGGGAGGGAAAAAGATCATACCTTTTCTAATTTCTCAAAAGCATCGGCCTGAAGAGGGACCCAACCGTTAATGGCTTCACCGGCGGCAGAGCTGAGCCAAGAGGGCCAACCGGCGGCGATCTGCTCTGCTCCAACAAGCCGTCTTGACGGCTGCGGCTGAAGTACGTCGCTTTTAAAGGTAATCTCCCCAATTTCCCCAATCGACGACCTCCGCTCCAACTTCTTCCTCTTGGCCTTCTTCTCCACATTATCAACCGCAGTATCGATCAGGTAATTGATCTCAGCCTGAATCTCCCCAACTTTCTGCAGCTGCTTCTTCCGATCAACCCTCCTCTTCCCTTTCTCCCCTTCCCCATCCTCCCCCTCCTCTTTTGCCTCAAGGAGATCGCCGATATTCCTGATCTTCCCGCTCCTCTGTTTCTGCTCGACGACGGAAGGAACGAGGATGCCGGAAGGGTTTCTGGAGGATGCGCGGGAGCTGGGGTCGATGTAGGAGAGGCGGTCCTGGAGGACATTTGTGGAGGCGGGAGGGTAATTCAGAACAGGGGATTCGCCGCCGGCGGCGGAGGAAACGGCCCTCTTGGAGTTGACGCAGCCCATTAAACCCGAATCGAGGGGCAGGGTGGGGAACCCGACCCAAGATTGGGGATTAACGGAGGGAAGACAGACTCGGGGGCTTCCTGACTAAATTCGGGGAGCAGGAAATAAAATAATATGGGGAGATGGAAATTTGGGTTCTTGGGTTTGTTGAATCTCCTCCTTCTTCTTCGCTGCATCTGAACCAATTGGTAATGGCTTTGTCCAAAAAAAGCAGGGGAAGAGTAAAGCAGGGGAAAGTGAGGGGTTGATTTTGGTGGGAAAGAAACAATTAGACAGACGGTCAATCAGACTTGTTTTCTTTCCCTTTTCCGCTTTTGTAAGGTAATTTTCTTTTAGGGTGTGGATTTTTTGTGGTAGCTATGAAATTGAGGTATGACGGGAGTAGGGTCTGGGGAGTTCTGAGTCGTCGTTAGAGTTTGCCGTTGTAGATTCTCTTCCTTTTCTAGTGGAGAAGAGAAGAAGAAGGAATAAGAAGGTTCCATTTTTAATCTAGAGAGAGACTAGAGAGAGAATCGCTCTCCCCTCTCTTTTCTTGTTCTGGCTAGCCTTTTTTTTTTGTCTCTTCTGGGGGTTTGAATGGAACCGCCCAACGAATCCATCGGACCTAACCCAAAACCGCCGGACTCTTCGCCGGCGGCAACCCCTACACAACCCAGTAAAAAAGCCAAAGCCTCTGCTAGCAATGGATTCACTGGTGAAGGTGGTATGGACTTCGCTGTCGTAACAGCGAGAGTTGATTCCTCAAAAGCCTTTGAGGAGGCAGATGAAGAAATGCATATTGAGCCCACTGCCAAACAGGGGGAAGGAGCTGAAGAGAAACAGAGGACGGCCGATACCTCTACTGCCACATCGGAGAAGCCCTTCTGGGGAGGGAAATAGTGCTCGTACAAAGACTCTGTTCTCGGCAATAAACCCGTTGTTGACGATGCTGCAGGGGATGATTTAATGTCAGATGAATCTGATGGGGAATACGGGGATGACGACCCAGATTGCCCAACCATCCGCATCAAGAAAAGAACCAACGCCAGAATCCAGAGTCGATGGAATCGAGCCATCACGTTCCGAGTTCTCGGGAAACATTTCCCCTTTGCTTTTGTTCATCGTCGGGTGCAGAAAATGTGGGCAAAGACTGGCGGAGTTAAGATTGGGGACATTGGCAACGGTTACTGTCAGGCGGTGTTTGATTCCCAATTGGACCATGACCGCGCACTCTTTGGAGGTCCCTGGACCATTGACGATCATTATATTGTTGCTGAACCCTGGAGGCTTGATTTCGATCCGGACTTCGACTCCATCAATCACATCTCGGCCTGGGTCAGACTGCCGCGACTTCCTCTTGCCTACTTCGACGAGGAGATCCTCACTGACATCGGGAATAGGCTGGGCAGGGTGCAGAAAATCGATTACAACACGATCAATGGCTTCCGAGGTAATTACGCGAGAATCTGTGTTGAGATTGATCTAACCAAAAGACTAGTCTCGAAGTATAGATTGAAAAGGAGAGTTCGTAGAGTGGAATATGAAGGACTTCACGTGGTTTGCTTTAGCTGTGGGCACTATGGCCACCTCGAAGATAAGTGCCCTATGGCCAGAGGAACAGACTCCCCCAATGCAGAGCAGAGCACATCGAGTACGTCCCAGCCGTCGCAGACTATCAGGCCGGAGGTGGTGGAGGACTTTGGTCCTTGGATGCTTGCAGCTAGACCAAAGCGGATGAAAAGTCAGAGGAAAACTCGGGGGAATGAGGAAACAGCTAAGAAGAAGGAAAATAGAGGGGAAGGTGGAAAATCTGGATCGAGGTTCACAGTATTGGAAACTGAAGAAAAAGAAGCAGAAGGGGGGGAGAGCATGGAAGCTGAAGCTACCATTGAGAAGATTCAGACTGTAGAAAATCACAGTAACAAGGAGAATACCCAAAAGGAAATCAGTACTGAGGAAGAAAAGAGCCAGCCACAGGTCCAGAGCAAGAACAACAAAGGGACAATGGACAAGAAAGTTAATAACAACAAGAAAGAGCATCAAAAAGCGTCCCCAGATACCTCTAAACAGGAGAGCAGAACTCCTAACCCTACTGCTAAACCCACAGACCAGCGAGGGATAACAGAAAAGGTAACCAAGCAGCAAGTCCAACTGGGCACGAATGGGAAAGCACTCAAAGGTGCAGGGAGCAGCAAGAGTAAAGGAGAAGGAAAGAACCTCACTGGAGCTAAACCGCCAGGAATTGACAATGGGAAACCTAAGGAGAAGTTGAAAACTCCAGGATCCCTGTCAACTAGTGTCTCCATGGGAAAAGTTCCCGTCGTCACTACACCAAAAGGCCCAAGCAAGGGAAGGAAAATTGAGTTCTCCCCTGACAAAGGGAAGGAAGTTGTTGTGCCAGAAAATGCACGTTCCCCCTCAGCAGTGCCAATGGAGTGTGCTTCAGGGGAGGGTGAGGTGGCTATGGCCACTAAGCCCTGTTGATTTCCAACCTTTGGTTGTGCAGGATTGCTTTAATCATCTTCACTTATGGTTAAAGTTTTTTCCTGGAATTGCAGGGGTGCTAAACACCCTAAGTTCTTGCCTACCTTTAATTTGTACAAGGAGAATCACAAACCTGATATTGTATGTATTCTGGAACCCAGAATCAGTGGGAGAGATGCTCTTCAGTGATCAAGTCCATGGGATATGATACTTGGGCCATCTCAGATGCTGCTGGGTTCAGTGGGGGAATATGGGTGCTTTGGAACAGGAGTGAGATCCTGATGAGGGAAGTTGATAACCACAAACAGTACATCAACTTGAAGTGCTCCTCCCTCAATGCTGATGTGTTCCAGATCACTGCAGTGTATGCCAGCCCTAATGAACATGACAGAGTAGAGTTGTGGGATGCTATGAGAAGAATGGAGAGATGTACTGATCTCCCATGGATTCTCACAGGAGACTTCAACTCCATTTCTAGAGCATGTGAGAAGCAAGGAGGGGCTGGGTTTAATTTTGCCAAAGTTAAAGCCTTCAATGAGTGTATGGAGGACTGTGGACTGATGGACCTTGGGTTCTCTGGTCCAAAGTTTACTTGGTTTACAAGGCATTCAGGTATAAAGGAGAGACTTGATCGAAGTATTTGCAACCTGAGATGGCACCACAAGTTTCCAGGCACTTCCACCTTGCACTTACCCAAGATCAAGTCTGACCACAGGCCTATATTGACCTGCACAGAGACTCAAAACACTAAGAAGAGGTTGGAAAGGAGGTTTCAGTTTCTTGCCTCGTGGCTGGCTCATGAAAACTTCCCTGATTTCCTGTGCTCCACATGGAAGAGTTATCAAGACTTCCCCTCCTCACTTAGATGGCTCTCAACCCATCTCCAGAAATGGAATAAAGAGATCTATGGGAACATTTTTCAGAGGAAAAGAAGACTACTGAATGAGCTCAAATCCCTGGAAGCTCTTAATGAGAGAAAAGCTACCACCAACTCCCTCAATCAGGAACAAAAGACCAGGGAAGAGATGGAGGACACCCTTTGGCAAGAAGAGATGCTGTGGATCCAGAAATCCAGAACTAACTGGGTTGTTTTTGGAGACCTGAACTCTAAATTCTTCCACTCCAGCACACTTAGCAGGAGGAAGAGGAACAGAATCACATGCCTGAAGAACGACCAAGGAGACTGGATCACTGATGCTGACACCCTCCTCACCATGGCCAGGGAGTATTTTCTTCACTTGTTCACTAAGCCTTCTTCCTTCTTGGGGTGTTCCACTCCTGCTGATTTTCCACATTTTGATGATAACCTGCTTGTTACTCTTTCTTCCCTGCCTACTGTTGAGGATGTCAGACTTGTCATTAAGGAAATGAATGGTTTAAAAGCACCTGGTAAGGATGGGTTCCAGGCCATCTTCTACCAGAAATGCTGGGATGTGGTTGGGAAGGACTTTGCTGGGTTCATCATCTCCTGCTTCCAATGCCCTAGCAAAATTAGAGTTCTCAATGACACCCTGATTACCCTGATACCCAAAGTGGATCACCCTACCTCTATGAACCAGTTTAGACCCATCAGCCTTTGTAATGTAGGGTATAAAGTCATAGCTAAACTGATTGCCAATAGAACTAAACCCCTCATGGCCAAACTGGTTAACAAAAACCAGTCCAGTTTCATTCCTAAGAGACATATAACTGACAATATCATTATCATGCAGGAAACCATCCACTCTATGGCAAGGAAAAGTGGCAAAAAGGGCTATATGGTGCTCAAGGTGGACTTGGCCAAAGCATATGACAGGATTGGGTGGGAGTTTCTCCATGAAACTCTGCAGGCTGCCAGATTACCTGACTTGTGTATCAAGTGGATTATGGAGTGTGTGACCTCCACAAGCTACCAGGTGCTGTGGAATGGAGGGGAAACTGACAGCTTTACTCCATCCAGAGGCCTCAGACAGGGATGCCCTCTCTCTCCCTACCTCTTTACTCTTTGTATTGAAAGACTGAGTCACTGTATTGGTAGTGAAGTTAAGAAGCACAAATGGAAACCAGTTAGGCTTTCCCCTGGGGGTCCTGCCCTCTCCCACCTTTTCTTTGCTGATGACCTGGTCCTTTTTGCTGATGCCAGTATTATTCAAGCTGACATTGTGATGGAATGTCTGAATAATTTCTGCCTGGCCTCTGGGGAAATGATCAGTAAAGAGAAATCTAGGGTCTTTTTCTCTAGAAATGTTAAGAACAAGGATAGGAATGACATCTGTAATAGAATGGGAATCCAAGCCACTACAGACCTAGGCAGATACCTGGGGGTCCCTGTGTTACATGGTAGAATTACTAAGAGTACCTATAAGTTCATCCTGGATAGGATTGACCAAAAGCTCACTAGCTGGAAAGCAAGAACCCTCTCCCTGGCTGGCAGGGTTACCCTTGCTGTTTCAGTGCTCAATGCACTCCCAACCTATGCTATGCAAACCACTTGTCTCCCTTTATCCATCTGTGATGCTATTGATAGGAAGGTCAGATCTTTTGTTTGGGGTTCCATTGAGGGCAAAAGGAAAACTCATCTTGTTGCCTGGGACAATATCTGTAAGCCTAAGAGTCAAGGGGGTTTAGGTCTTAAATCTGCTAGGCATATGAACATGGCTTATATGATCAAACTTGGGTGGCATATGCTTAATAATGGCTCTGATTTGTGGGTCCAGGTCCTGCAGGGGAAATATTTTAAGCACCAGGGGGGAGACATTACCACTATGAAAAAAAGCAATCACTCTAATCTATGGAAAGCCATAGTTAGAGGAATGAGGCTGATGAGAGAGGCCACATGCTGGAGCATCAGGGATGGGAGGAACACCCTTTTCTGGAAGCAACCTTGGATTGATCACAGCACGATCCTTGCTGATTTTGCCACCACTGACATCAATGAGGAGGATCTGGACTCGACTGTTGCTGACTGTGTGACTGAGGAGGGTAAGTGGGACTGGAATAAGCTAGGACAATATCTCCCTAATGAAGTTATCTTGACTATTGCAGGAGTTGATGCTCCTGAACCTGAGCTGGGAGAGGATGTCACCATTTGGGGCCTGGAGAAGGATGGAAGGTTCAGCCTGAAGTCAGCATACAGGCTGGTTGCTGACATAGAGGAACAGGAGGATGATGGAAGATGGAAAGCTGTTTGGAAGTGGAGAGGGCCAAGCAGGATCAAACACTTCCTTTGGCTGGCAACCCATGAGCGCCTCCTCACCAAAAAAGAGAGGGAGAAAAGGAAGCTGACAACCTGCAACTTGTGCAACCACTGTAATGAAGAAGAAGAAACAATTGAGCACATTCTCAGGAAGTGCAAAAAAGCTAAGAGCATTTGGGAAACATTTCAGAACAAGGAGTCTACTGTGAGTAGAAGCCTAAACTTCACTGATTGGCTGCTACACAACATCAAGTGTGATGAAACTGCCACAGAGTTTGGGATCATCTGTTGGCAACTTTGGAAGCAAAGAAATGAAGAGGTGATGGAAGGGTGTGCATTCATGAAAGAGAGTGTCACTGCTAAAATCAAAGCATGGTTCAATATAGTGAATCAAGCTCAGGCCAACCAGCAGAAGACAGCAGGTTTTGTCCCAAAGAAGAGAACCCCCTGTGATGTTGGATGGAAACCGCCAGAGGAAGGATGGATTCAACTACAATCTGATGGCTCCTTTCATGCTCAGAGTGGGAAAGCAGCAGCAGGAGGTTTGTTCAGGGATCACCTAGGTAGATGTTTGGGCGCCTATGTGTGTAACTTTGGACGATGCTCAATCACTACTGCTGAGCTGCGAGGAAGCTTGGAGGGTTTGAGGATTGCTTGGAAGGCAGGCTACAGGAAGATCGTTCTGCACAGCGACTCTACCACTGCCATTAATATCATTAAACACAGAAATGATGATGTGCACCGCCATGGTTCAACTGCCAGGCATTTGAGCTTTATTTTGGATCGACAATGGGAGGTTAGAGTGTCCCATGTATATAGAGAAGCGAACTATGCGGCTGATTACTTGGCCAACAAGGCTCATGATTTTGATTTTGGCACACATCATTTCAATGTGTGTGATAGGGACTTGATTAGGTGGATCAACCATGATGTAATGGGAATCTCCCATGAAAGAGCTATTATTAATATGAATTAGACGCTCGATGTCTGTCTTTTTACCAAAAAAAAAAAAAGAGAGAAGAAGAAGAGATGTCCCCGTCGGTCATCTGGTGTGGTGCTTCTCCTCGGTTTAGAAGACATTTTAAAAGAGGAAGAAAGGTTAATGTCGTTTCTGGGCCATCAAAGTTGTTGCCCTTTCTTGGTTAATCTGGTTAGCTAGGGTTCTGACATAAACCGGTTAATACGTCCTAATGAATGTCGTTGTGTTGGATCTAGTGTTCCGCAAGACCGCAACTGTTGGATATCCGCGGTGTTAATTTTCCGTTGATATGCTCTTAAAATGCAAGATGTTAATTCTGTTGGTTAGTCGCATAATATGATTTTTTTTTATTATTATTGTGAAGAAGTCGCATAGCATGATTTGTTTCTAGTTTATTCGTGAAATGACGTTTTATTTATAAAACAGTAAAACATATAATCAGTGCACCATTAATTTTGGAAGTTACAAATATACTCTAGTTTAAAACTAGACTCTAAAATAAAATTTTAAATCTTTAATTATTGGAATTTGTTTAATAGGATGGTGTAGCTTACAAGTTACAACTACAGTTAATCCATGCATTTAAAGTTATTCTTATAGAATGCTCATTGGCTTACATGTCCAAGATAAGGTGCATAATTTGCAAAACAAGATCTGAGTCATGTGGGCCTCGGATCTAAAGGTTGGAAATTAAATGTAAATATTTTTTTAATTTTTTTAATTAGATCTTCTCTTATTCGTTCTAACTTGGATTTCAATTTTTTTTCCACAGATGGAACGAGTTTGTTGTGATCTACAAAATGAGATCAATTATCAATATTTTTTCAGAAAAAAAAATTCATACTTCTCATTACCAACTACATACCATATGGTAACACCTTCATTTTTAAGTCATTTTTGAAAATATTTGCGTAGAAGGAATGAGTTCATCATATGATCTATTAGATCTAAAAATTTATGTGGGAAACAAATACAAGACCAAAAAATATCACCTCATACCCCTGGCATATGGGTGGTAATTGGTGATAAACAATGTTGCATGTAGTAAAAAACAGTTACATACCGTTTGGTATAAATGAATTCCATAAGTTTTTAGGAATTCATTTTGAAATGAAATCTTTTTGTGTTTGGTATTTAAAAGAATTCATTTTCAATTCTAAATTTTGAATTCTATGGAATTGGAACTAGTTATAGCAATTCCGAGGAATTGAGATGGAATTTTCAAATCAATTCCATAATTATTTACCAATTATGATAAAAGGACATAATCATTCTCATTTATTAACAAAATTACTTCTACATATATTATTTGGCGCCAATTCATGCAGTATGAGGAACGTCAACAAGAATTTGATTGTAACGCTAATAGCATATACCAAACACAGGAATTCATTTTAAAACGAAATGAATTCTAGATTCATTTGGTACCAAACGGTCTGTTAGTATATTTCTAATATCATGTATTCAACCATCCTACATTAAGTATGTTCATACCATCATGGTACACTTTCATATCATATGGTATGCTCTCATTTACTACCAATCAATATTATATGGTATAGACTGGTAATAAATGCCTCAATTTTTTTGTTCCAGAAATATGTCAAAGTGGCTATCATTTTGAACATCATAATTAATCTGATTTTTCTGTGCAAAAAAATTTAAATTTCAACTTAAAACGAGAGAGAAAATGTCCTTTACAATTAAAAGGAAAAATGTTAGACACCTTCCATAAATGGCAGGGGTGCTGATGTGCCACCTGATGATAGGGTTATGCACTGTTACTTACGATATAGTTACTGATCATATCTGAACCCTGGCTTGCAAGGAAATTGTTGTTAATTTTCATGTAAATTAAGATTTTTTTTATTAATTGCTATGTGATTGAAAGATTGATCACGTTGTTCTGATAAAATATGGGTAATCAAAATAATAAGTTATATATGCACCAAAAGTTAGCAATGTACCATGAGCGCGTACACATAAATTATTCATCCCGTCGTTATGAAATAACAAGAAAAACTCGATATTTCATCAATCTCGTAAATGAAAATTTAATGAACCAGATTCCATTTCTTTTTATGTTTTAGATTTCATATTGATGTACATATGATTGAGATAAGACAATTCACGTCAGTACAATATTGTCTGCTTTAGACCAAACTCATATGAAATCTACAAATTGTCGAGACTAGCCGATACTCGTGGATATTGTCTCCTTTGACCCAAGCCCACCCTAATTTGCTCTTGGATACCTCTATCATGCTTCGTACTACTCTTGGAATTATCTACCCTTTTCCTGATTTTTTTGTGTGTAATACCTGTATTGTAAAATTCAATACGCATATTTCAAGAACCCAAAACATCGGGCTTCCATCCTAGTCCTAGGGGTTAATTGCGCCGTTGGTCATTGAGATTACAAAAAGCGTTCAACGTTGGTCACTATAAATATTTAAATCCATTGATGGTACCTAACTTTACAAAACCCGTTCACTTATGGCCACTCTTCGTTAGTTGCCGTCCAACGCCGTTAACGACATCCGTTAAGTGATGACGTGGCTTACAGATTTGCCTAATCAGCACTTTTTAACCCGAAAATTAACCGACCCGCCACATCATTGAGACCCGCCATGTCAGCTAAACCTACCCAACCCTCTAACCAAACCAGACCCGCTAACTAAACCAGACCCAACCCTCAATCCCTTCTCCATCCCGCGCCGCCTTCCTCCCTCCCGTGTTTCTTCCTCTTCAACTCTGTTCGCGAATTCGCAGGTGACGAAGGAGGAATGGAGTCCACCACACACTGTGGTTGACTCCTTTCTCAATACCCAGTTCAAACTCTCTTCCCATTTTCTTCTCCATCGCGTGCGCCTGACTTCCCCCTTCTGAGCAGACAACAAAACCCTAAATCGAAGCTTCGATTCTCCTCCTATCTCCGACAACGAAACCCTAAAGGTGAGTTTGTTTATTCGAGCCCTGTCTGGAAAGACTGAAAATGAGAAAAGAATAGGGGGCAGACGAAAATATCGAGTGTGTGTTATGGCTTTTGGGGGTTCACTTTTAGCTTTCTTTTATACTAAATTGCAAGTTTCTGTAGGTTTTCCAGGTAAGCATTCCACCGAAGGAACCATAGTGGGGCATGACCGGGCTCCAAATGAAACTCAGCCTAACTATTGTAAGTCTCCCGCCATTTTCGCTCTTGTCTTTATGGTAGATGGCTGGTCTGGGTTGTCCTTTTCCACAATTGGCATTTACTAGAGACGAGGACAACACTTTGGGTAGAATTTGAATAACTAATGCAGGGTTATGTGGGAATGACGAAAATGCAGCCTTAGGGTTTGACCTTTTCTGTCTTTTAATAGAAGCTGGTGGGACAGGACAACCTACTTACCTGTTGCTCCATAACTGCTCACTTCCTTTGAAATTAACTCCTTTCAATTATTTTTTTTACCAAACAGGTGCTTCCAGTGGAGAGTTCACCTTTGCAGTTCATGTAACCCATGAAATGAAAGAGGTTGGCGGCAAGCATTTCCTCAATGAAACCTCCACTGTGTTTTGGGACTATGCGGACATTGATGAACTTTCAGTGCTCGACCTTCCTGGCATATATGCGGTGTGTGGTGGGACGATTAAAGATCCGAAGTTCTTTTGGAAATCTCCTTGCAACGATGCAATGTCTGAGATTGCCAATGAAGAAAATATTCTGAGCATGTCAATAGCGGCCAACGACGAGGGAAGAGTCATCGAGCTGTATGATTTCTCGGTTAATGATCTTGAAGATATCTTAGATAGTGAAGTTGAAGAAATGGAGGTTGCCAGTTTGATAAGAAAGGGGGAAAATGGTGCTGGAGATGATATGCTAAGTGATTCTGACTATCATGAGTATGAAGACAACGATTATTTGTAGGATTCAGAAGAAGATAGTTAAAGGGACAATGCACAATTTGAAGCAAATATCACTCAAGAGGTGGAAGCCGATATGGGTACCTTTGAAATGGATGATGGGCAGCCTAAACTACAAAGGAAAGGTCCTGATTATCCAGACTATGATGATCGTAGGATCATTGTAAGCTCGGACTCGGATGAAGGAGACCAATATCAGTAATTCCGGGTTGATCGAGACATGGAGATGCCTACCTTTGCTGCTTCCCAGAAGTTTAGTAGCTTTGGAGTCCTAAAAGATTCAATAAAAAAACATGCTTTCATCGAGAAAAGGCTCGTTTGCTTTAAAAAGAATGATGGACAGCGACTACAAGTAGTGTACGATCCTTCATGTGATTAGTACATTTGGGCTTCGAAGATGAGCACCGAAGATTCTGTCCAAATCAAGAAGTGCAAGGTTGAGCACTCACCAGATTGTAGGAAGACCTTCAAGATCAAGTACGCTACTGCAAAGTTTCTCGACTCCAAGTTAAGTAGGAAGATGGGATGCGATAGGAACATGAAAAGGGCCTTGCTGAAGCACATTGTGAAAGAAGACTACAAGGAAGACGTGAAGGACTATAAGGACCTAGCCACTTGTTGATATCGTCCTGTCTACAGGCGTATAGGAGCATCAAGTTCCTCCTAATCCCCTCCCACATGCTAATCGGACCCAAATCCCTTTCCTCCAATATAGTGTTGTTCCAACTCTCTACATTATTGCTGCTGAGAATATCACAGCTGGTGTAAGTTAGAAAATGAGACTTGGTCCAATGATAGAAGGGCTTCTTCATCAGCCAATCGTAGGCTGGCTTACTAAAATCGGACAGCCTTGTCATATTATGTTTGAAATCCGCTACAGTTGTGGACCTAGCTGCTGTCCAAAATAAGTCTTTCAAAGCTTGGCCGCCTCCACAAGCACCCTTGAGGTTTGTCCACAAGTGTCATGCATAGTGTCTCTTCTCACAATTTGGAAATATTTTGTCAAGTGCTGGCAAGAGACTCTAAAGACAACAAACAAAAACCAATTGTTAACCTTAATAAAATTCCGAATCACTTAAAACTCCCACGAACCGCCTCAATTGTTGCATGTCGTATTCTCCAAGCCTTAGAGTCCTTAACGTCTTCCTTGTAGTCTTCTTTCACAATGTGCTTCAGCAAGGCCCTTTTCATGTTCCTATCGCATGCCATCTTCCTACTTAACTTGGAGCCGAGAAACTTTACAGTAGCGTACATGACCTTGAAGGTCTTCCTACAATCTGGTGAGTGCTCAACCTTGCACTTCTTGATTTGGACAGAATCTTTGGTGCTCATCTTCGAAGCCCAAATGTACCAATCACATGGAGGATTGCACACTACTTGCAGACGCTGTCCTTCATTCTTTTTAAAGTGAACTGGCCTTTTCTCGACGAAAGCATGTTGTTTTATTGCATCTTTTAGGACTCGAAAGCTGCTAAACTTCTAGGAAGCAGCAAAGGTAAGCATCTCCATGTCTCTATCAACCCGGAATTCCAGAGATTGGTCTCCTTCATCCGAGTCCGAGCTTACGATGCTCCTACGATCATCAGAGTCTGGATAATTAGGCCCTTCCCTTTGTAGTTCAGGCTGCCCATAATCCATTTCAAAGGTACCCATGTCGGTTTCAACCTCTTGAGTGTTATTTGCTTCAAATTGTGCATTGTCCCTTGAACAATCTTCTTCTGGGTCCTCCAAATAGTCGCTATCTTCATCCTCATGATAGTCAGAATCGCTTAACAGATCATCTCCAGCACCATTTTCCCCTTTCTTCTCAAACTGGCAGCCTCCATTTCTTCCAGTGGCGGACCCACCTTGTAGCAAGGTGTGTCACCCGACACACCTTGCTCCGAAATTTTTGTGAGGAACCCAAATTTTTTGGTGTAAAAAATTTTGTACACGGGACTTCCGACACACCTTCAATAATTGTAATCGACACACTTTAACCTTATTATATTAAAAAAAATTATTATGGTAATAATATTAAAATATGTAAATATAAGAGTTATCCGATTTCAGATTAGGTAGATAATTAGTTGGGTGTACAAGAGTAAACAATTAATTGACTACTTACTATGCAGTGAGTATTCAGAAAGATAGCTATCACCTTAGAGATAAGCTAAATAAATTGAATGAAAATTAAGTTGATTAATAATCTGAATGAGTCAAGTAATTAGATAGTGAATTTCGTACTCTCTTTCCCCACAACTTCTTCCATGGATTCTTCTTAAGTTAACTTTCTACTTGCTTTCTAGCTAGTTTAGCTATTTCTTTTTACGTTGACGCCTGTCGCCACCATCCAATTTTCGGCATCGGCTGACGACATCTTCATTCTCATTCAAACTTACACATTGACGCTTGTGGCCACCCTTCCAGCTTCTTATACCGGCTTTCTCATATTAAATTAGTGTTTCTTATTGCAATTGCAAGCTACAAAATGACATTTTCCATATATGAGTTTAATCGAGAAAAATCTTTGGTATAAGTTGAGTGATTAATTTATGAATAATTTTTAGTTGTGTATATAATAAAATATTTTATTTGCAACCTAATGAGAAAATGCAACTAAGAAATTTTTCAGAATATGAAAACTCGTCGTGGTTCACTGTAAAAAATAATGAAATTGATGAACTTTAAGTATAAAATTTTTACGTTTATTTTAAATTAATTAATTAGTTAAATTTTTATTTATTGGCCGACACACCTATACCAAAATTCTGGGTCCGCAACTGATTTCTTCAACTTCACTATCCAAGATATCTTCAAGATCATTAACCGAGAAAGCATACAGCTCGATGACTCTTCCCTCGTCGTTGGCCGCTATTGACATGCTCAGAATATCTTCATCATTGGCAATCTCAGACATTGCATCATTGCAAGGAGATTTCCAAAAGAACTTCGGATCTTTAATCGTCCCACCACACGCCGCATATATGCCAGGAACGTCGAGCACTGAAAGTTCATCAATGTTCGCATAGTCCCAAAACACAGTGGAGGTTTCATTGAGGAAATGCTTGCCGCCAACCTCTTTCATTTCATGGGACACATGAACTGCAAAGGTGAACTCTCCACTGGAAGCACCTGTTTGGTAAAAAAACAGCAATTGAAAGGAGTTAATTTTAAAGGAAATGAGCAGTTATGGAGCAGCAGGTAAGTAGGTGGTCCAGTCCCACCAGCTTCTATTAAAAGACAGAAAAGGTCAAACCCTAAGGCTGCATTTTCGTCATTCCCACAGAACCTTGCATTTTTCTATTCGAATTCTACCCAAAGTGTTGTCCTCATCTCTAGTAAATGCCAATTGTGGAAAAGGACAACCCAGACCAGCCATCTACCATAAAGACAAGAGCGAAAATGACGGGAGACTTACAATAGTATTTGTTGCCCTAATTTAGGGCGAATATTCAAGATGGAAAAACGACGTGAGACTTACAATAGTATTTGTCACCCTAATTTAGAGTTTGGGAATAAAAACGCATGGCAAAAATGTCAAAATGGAAAATTAGGGCGACAAATTTTAAAAATCTAGGGTGTTAATTAATACCTCTCTTCTAATATTATTGCAATAACTAAGGTTAAGGTTCAGTAAGTTACACTCTTATTAATGTTTCTTAATTTCGAAAAGGTTACGTTTTACAAGTTATATATGTATATGGCATATTACAAAATGAAATGTGTGATAAGGAAGATAAATACCACATACAATTTTAGTACAAAAATCAAACATTAATATGATGATGATCTGGTACTCCTGTGGAAGAGTTGCAGTGACAACGACGACGTTAATTGTGTTGTGGATTATGGCTATAATCTCAATCTCCAGTACTCCTGCACAAGCCACCATGAATAACCGCTATGTAGAACACTGCTATAGATCTATGGATTACTATTGCAAGGAACCTCTCATCTCGCAATTTCTTATTGGTTGTTGTCTTGATTACGGTTGTTGCATGCAAGTGAAGAAAGAGTGTGTCCGAGTCATTATGAACGATCTGATTAAGAAATATAAGGATGTCGACCCTAAAACAATCGAGAAAAATAACATATGGGTTCATCAGAATGCATGTGATTATACTTTTGGTGCATGAAAAAAAAAGAATGATGTGATCAATTCATGGAAACAGGGTTTTCATCGATTACTGCATTTGGATATTATTTATGTTTTATGGTATTTTGAATATTATTTTGATGTTTAAATTTTCTTGGAGACTGAGTTATTTGGCATTTATGTACTAAGGGTTAATTTTAGATAACAATTAAGAATTATGCGGGTTATATATTCTATGAACATAAACTGCATCAGCAAACTTAATCAAAAAATTCACTGAACACTCTCTCTCCCCTTTCGGTCGAAGTCTCTATTGAAGTTCATCACCTGGTGGTTCCCTCTCAACCTATCTATGTCTTGGAGCACAAGAAATGAGGTTTGGTTAGGGATGGCAAATTACCCACCCATGGGTAATTATACCCAAACCCAAGTAGACCCATTGATAATGGGTTGGGTATGGGTGAAGTGCATATGGATTTGGGGGTTTATAGATGGGTTTGGGTTTGGGGTTTCCATAATCTAAATGGGTATGGATTGAATATGGATATCCATTTAATTGAGGGTGTTTTAACTACACAAGCAAAAAATTGGACCTATTTGTAAAACTTAAAAAGTTTAGGTACCAAAATGTAAGACCAAAAAAATTCAGGTACCAAAACGTAATTTTCCATCGATATTTTGAGGACTTATATGCAAAAAAATTAAATTTAGGTACTGAATATGCATATCTGTTAAGTTTGGGTACCAAACTGTAATTTGTATTTGGGCATGGGTACAAACCCAAATCCATTTGATATAAACCCAACTCAACCCAAAGTAAATGGGTATGGGTACAAACCCATCAAATTCTACCCATATCCATTTATTTGGATTTTATACCCAACCCAATTGAGTTGGATAGTAAGAAATCCATGGGTATGGGCAAAGTTGTCATCCCTAGGTTTGGTGCTGAAGGAACAAGGGAAGCAGGGAAACTAGCTGGAAGAAGATGAAGATGAAGATGAAGACTGATGCAGCTGGAGGGTATTCATGACAACTTTCAGCTTTGGAATGAAGCCAAGGGAGACGAGGGACCACAGTGAAGGGCATCTTTGCCAATGCCTCTTCTTGTTTTTTCTTTTGGGAACACTGAAAGTGACCCTTATACTTGTTTTTGTTTTAAGCTTTTGTCTGTTAGTTTTAGAGGCAGCAGATCAGCCTAGGACTTGAGGGTGAGCCTTTAAA